AGTGGAGACCTCAGGTGCCCCATAAATCTTAAGCAGGCTATAGACGAGTTGAAAAACAAAAGTTCTGGCGATCGAAAAAAACTAAAATGGCTCATACGATTATGCCAATTGTTTCGATTTTCTGGAAAAAAAAAAAACAAACCCAGCATGTTGAAACAGGCACATTTGATTGTGGTACGCTAAAGATGCGAAGTTTTGTTCGATTTTTGACTTGTCTATGGCCTGCTTTAGTTTGTCCCCTGATCCATTAAAAATGACCAGACTGGAAAACTGTCATCTGTCTCTGGGTACCCTATAACTTAAAGGAAAGCTTCACCTTTTTGGGTAGAATCTCACTTTTCATAATAGAAGCATTTTCCAATGCAATTTTTTTTGCCCAGCCATCCTGATGTGCTTTACTCTCACATACCTCACCACAGGAGGTTTAAAGTTTTGTCAGATTATCTGAAATTTTGAAATGATTTTTAGATTCCATCACTTCCTGTAGATTGTCACTCAGCATTCACTTCCTGTACGCCAGCCATGTCCAAAAATCCAGCCTGCGGGCCAATTGTGGCCCATATTCCAGTTTAATACGGCCCCATCCAAAGAACAAAGGTATACCGCTCAGGTAAAGAATCCAGATCAATCCACAACAGGTGCAGGCTCTGGCTCGCCACCACACACGATGCAATAGGAAGAAGGGTCAGCCGTACACTGGAGGATAGATGGATATAATGTGTATTTATTGATCCATAGGACACACAAAACACCAGCACATGAATACAGGACCTGTTAACGCGTTTCACAGGATCTCGTGCTTAATCATGATTAATATGGCCCCACAGGTAATTTGCCAATATCTAAAAAGGAGAAAAGTGCCTCTAAGTGCAATATGTGGTACATTTATTGAGGAACATAAAGAGAAACACATGATGAAAGAAAACAAAAAGGCTTAGGCATATGTGGTGAAAGCGAAGGACATGGCAGTGTCCTCCATGTATACGCCATAGTAAGCACTGGAGGAGACTCGAGATGTTCACAGGGAGCCCACCCTGGTGTGCAACGTTGATGTCAGCTTGATGACGTAGGGATGTCCAGTATGCAGTGCGACACGTTTCAGAGCATGCCCAAGGCCGATGAAAGGCAAAGGTGCGCTCCCTTCTCAAGCATTGAAGGAAATCAGTGAGAGTAATTTCACTTTTTTTCTTTTTTTTAGGGGGGGAGAAACCAGTACAGATTTCAAATATGTTATGACCAATATCAGTCGCTCCTGTTATCCATTCATTTTTTTATTTTTTTTTTTTGCCGCAAAATGGTCAGCCCTCACTCATTTTCACTTTATCAAATCTGGCCCTCTTTGAAAAAAGTTTGGACACCCCTGCTGGAGGCCATCTCTCAGAAGCCTTCACTTCCTTGTTGCATCACAGAAGAGGGTGTGATAGGACGTGTTCACCACTCTGGACCACACCTCCCTCATTACAATACTACCTCCCACCAACTTTCTTTACCGTCTGATTGTAAAATCTCTTTTAGATCTCCAATCAGCTATGTAGTACAAGGGCCTGTCTGATTTGATACAAATTGAATGGATTGTTCAGGTGTGTCCTTCTATTCCATAGTTCTGGTAAATCTAAAGGATATTGTACAGAGATTGTACAATTACATTGCTTAGTGTATGACCATCTTTATTCAAAGTACATAGGATGGAGTGGATGGAGCAAAACTCACATTCCCACTTGCGTTTGTTTTGGGTGTTTTTGGAGCTTTTTCACTCGTCACACATAGGGCAGCCCATTCACGTCTACACGCAACAATCACCCCAGAGAAGCTCCAGGACTTTTTTGGAGCGGAGCACGTTGCATTACCGCAGTTTTTGGTGTGTTTGCTGCACTTGAGGTGCCTTTATCATGTAATGACAACACAAGCACGTTGAATATTTGCAACATGTTTCTGAAACGCATGGCAAAGCATGCATTTTCTATGCAGATTGCCATGCGTTTGGAAATGCACAGATGTGAATGGAGCCTGGTTGTTCTGTGTAAACAAAGCGATTTCACTTTTAGGCCCCATTCACACTTAGAGTAGAGGGAGCACATTTTTTTGACTAATTTTTCCATTGACACACGTAGGGCAGCCTGCTGATTTCAACAGGCTGTGCTACACGTTGGTCATGGGACATTTTGGTGTGGTGCGAGTTGCATGTTTTTTACTGTGCATTTTGCTGCATTTGTCAACCGTTTTTTTCATGTGGTAAAATGTGTGTTTGCTTCTGTGTTTGGTTTGCCATAATGACAAGCAACTAGGTAGTCTTAGGTGTATAAATGTGACCATACACTATACAATCTCTCTATAACCTCCTTTAGATTTACCAAAACTATATAATAGGAGGACACACAATCTATTCAGTCACTCTATATCCACTCAGACAAGCCCTTGTACTACATCAGGGGTGTCCCGTGGGCTGCATGCAGCCCCAGGGAGTTTAGCATGCGGCCTGAGCCTGTCTGAAGAGACACTGGAGAAGCCAGGCAAATGCTCGCATAGAGAGATCCTGGGGATGCTGTTAAAAAATAGTTAATTTGTGAAGGTTGTGTATTTTAATGCGTTTCTGTGTAGGATGTGTGTGCCAATGAGATCAGCTAGTAAACTGGTGTCTTATTGGTCTCTCTGTCCTACATCCTCATATCAGCCAGTGATGAAGCTTTCTAAGAAATATAACAAGGGCTAAGGTAAGGCCTTGTTCTCAAAATCAAAGAAAGCGTTTATTTTTCTCTGACTGAGGTACAGTAATAGTATATTGGTACATAGGGGAGCTGAATTTTAGCAAAAGTGAACATAGCCTTTAATTACTAAAGACAATACACCTACTATTTGATTCTCCAATTTTTGGTATTGGGAAAAAAAAAATGTTTGTCCACAACAACCATAATCAGGCTGCCATTATTTTAATAATTATTTTATTAACAGCCTTATTGCTGGATATTGATTTTTTTTTTTTTTTTTTTTTTTTTTCTTTAAATGTTTTCGTCCTTTATAACTGGTTAAGTTCTTGACCTGCTTGTACAGCTGGAATCAGAGTTGACTTGACATCCATATCCAATTTCATCCCACAGAGCTGGACAGTGTAGTTGGTAAACCCATGTGTCCTTAGAAACTGATACAGCAGATCAGTTTTAGGAAAATGAGTTTAGGAAATGGGAAAGCAGAATTCAATAAAAAGTTAGCCGGGTCCCAGTTCTCTCAGGACTTTTTTATTTTTTTTTTCTGTTCACAATTTGACACGCAACCGGAAACCTGATAATGCACGATAGAACTGTGTAGTATCATCCGCTCACACTAGAAGACCACCCTTGAGCCACTGCAAAAAATGCCCTGGGATTAGCGGGTCAGCATGAGGGAAAGGCATGTAGACACGATCAGCACAGGGATCTGAAACCAAACACTGGGTCAGACCAGTTCAGCCTTTTGAACATTATCCTGCTGACCGTAAAAATATTATCGAGATGTGCTGCTAGATATAACTCTTTTATTGCTATGCTAGAAATGCAAACCATAATGGAAATGGTTCCAGGTATCTTCATTTGTTTCGGTAAAAACTTTTATGAGCAGCATAGCGTAAAATGAAACTGGTCCCGACAAGAAAAAAATGGAGTCAGCCATTGCTAACTTTTGCAAATGACAGTTGCCTGGTTGCTTCCATTCTAGGCTGTCTTTTGTGTAAATTATAGACCTGGAGCAAATATGTAGATAAGGAACTGTGACTTTTTTTGTGTACTTGTTAAAAGTAATTGAGTCAGTATATTGAAGCCATTGGACTAGAATGACAGTCCGGTAGCTAACATTTTAAGAAGAAGGTCAATCATTAAAATATAAGTTCACTTAAAAGGATCAGCAAATCTTAAAGCTCTACTTTAGGCTGTTGTTAAATCTATTCTAGCAACCACGGATGGACCAGAATGAGGGTGGGCCATTGCTGTCCCCCTGTACAGTGCAGGACTGCTGCTCCTGCATTGTTTGTGATGACGGCAGATGGCTCTGACTGCCTAGGCAGCAAAGTGAAGTGGTATTTTGGGACTAGTGCGAAGATGAGGAAGCCTGCAGGTGCAAGGGATAAAATAATTATTTGTACCTATTCCCTTCCTTCTAGTCAGACAGTAGGGTAGGTATTGAGGAGCTCCTGTATAAAATTTCATATCACTTAGAGGTCTTTTTAAAATGCTTTTATTAGTTAAGAGCATCAAGTAAGACAACGCGTTTTGCAGGAAAGGCCACCCCCCTTCCTCAGGGCTAGTATGCAAGAGAACAATAAAAATACAAAACATGCTATAAATATCTCATACAAATATAGTGATGTATGCCAATAAAATAGATATAACAATCAAGTATATAATAGCCATAAAATGCCCTTTTCAATAAAATGGTGGTGAATTTGACAATCAAGGTGAATCCATAAATTATATTATAATCATGAAATGGCTTATCCAAATGAGCACTTAACCAATGCACTGCAGGGGGAACCCACTGTATGGGTTCATTTAAAATCAGCACTGAAAGGGACTTTAAAGTACATTAAAACCCATACACCAACACCTCAGATAAGCGATTACATGTTAATGTTTATTTAAAGTAAATTACTGTATTTTTAAATCTGCAGCTTTCTATAAAATAATACCTGGTGATCCGGTCATGATGTTCCCTTGCTCAAACACATTTTCTTTGTAGGTTTCCTGTCTTTCGGTTGTGATCTTGCATTGCCAACCTGTCATACAGGCTTCTGGTGGAGAAATCAAATAGCTGTTTCAACACACAGTATGCAGGCATAGTCCACTGTCATAGTCCACTGTTGTCACCATTAGGAAAATGGTCCTGAGAAATGCAGTGAAGCAATAATTATGGTGAATGTATGTTTTGGTTGTGCAGTATTGGTAATACTGGCATATTGCTTTCTGGATGTGTGAGGGGGCTTCTTTTAAAATACTGTGCATTTGAAATCTTTGCTAGTAACTTTTTTTTGTCATAGGACCTTAACTATGATGTACAAAAGGATAACGTGGACCAAAGATTCCTTAGCATCTTCCGTAAGGGCAAGAAGAAGACAATTGTTCGAAATATGGGGCAAATGATTCACTATTCCAAGGTCAAGTTCCGCTTCCAGCATAATCAGGTGAATAAAATATCCTTTGCTGCCCTTTTAAATCCATATATATTATAGTTTTATCCACATCTATGTATTTTATAGATTGTGGCATTATAAATAATAGAGATATACACTCACCGGCCACTATATTAGGTACACCTATTCAATTGCTTGGTAGAACAAATTGCTAGTCAGTCAATCACATGGCAGCAACTCCATGCAGTGCATTTAGGCATATAGACATGGTGAAGACAACTTGCTGAAGTTCAAACCGAGCATCAGAATGGGGAAGAAAGTGGATTTAAGTGACTTTGAACGTGGCATGGTTGTTGGTGCCAGATGGGCTGGTCTGAGTATTTCAAAAACTGCTCATCTACTGGGATTTTCACACACATCCATCTCTAGGGTTTATAGAGAATGGTCCAAAAACAGAGAAAATATCCAGTGGGCGACAGTTGTGTGGACGAAAATGCCTTGTTGAAGTCAGAGGTCAAAGCAGAATGAGAAGACTTGTTGCTGCGACATTCAGATGGCAGGGTCAGAATTTAGAGTAAACAACATGAAAGCATGGATCCATCCTGCCGTATCAGTGGTTTAGGCTGGTGGGGTAATGGCGTGGGGGATATTTTCTTGGCACTAGCAAGGCATAATTAATGAAGTGGCCGGAGAGTGTATATATTGTATGAGGGAAGAATAAAAAAAAAATATATATATATATTTCATTAGGAGATGTTAACTAATTTCAGAGCCCCCTCTGAATGCAAAACTACATAATCTAATTACCAAATGGGGAGACCAAAACTACGTAAAATGGGTTAATAGTCTAGGAAAGTATCCAGTGTCCTCTCAATCTAAAGAGAGAAGCAAATTACAAAGACCCCTCACTACTGAATGTTAGTGCACAAGCCAAGTATAACTACATGCCTGCTAATTATCAAAACAAATTATCCTTGTTCTGACTTCTCGCCTTTTGTGAATGACATTAGGACTTAGGCTACAGATTGGGGGGGTCATGTATTTAAATTATTATTATACAGGATTTATATAGTGCCAACAGCTTGCTCAGCGCTTTACAATATAAATACAGTTCAATACAAGAGGGTTAGGAGGGCCCTGCTCCTTGGAACTTACAATCTAAGAGGAAGGTACAAAAGGTAATAACTGTGGGGGATGGACTGGTAGGAGGAAGAGAAGATTCCATTGTTAGCTGAAGGCAGGATAGGCTTTGCTGAAGAGAGGTTTTCAGAGATCGCCTAAAAGTGAGCAGAGTAGGCGATAGTCTGATAAATTGGGGTAGAGAGTTCTAGAGGATGGGGGATGCTCTGGAGAAGTCTTTGAGATGTGCATGGGAGGAACAGACGAGGGAGCTAGAGAGCAGGAGGTTGTGCGAGGAGCGGAGAGTACGGTTTGGGTGATATTTGGAGACAAGATTGGTGATGTAATTTGGGGCAGAGTTATAAATGGTTTTATATGTTATTGTTAATGTTTTGAATTTTATTTGTCGGCCAATGGAAAGCCAGTGGAGAGATTGACAGAGAGGGGCGGCAGATATGGAACAATTGGTAAGGTGGATGAGTCCACCTTACTTTTGAAATATGTATTTGAAAGCTGTTTTTTACAAGCCACATGATTTATGATTCTGTGCAGCCAGTTTCCTGACCTGGGCACTACTGCCAGACAGCACATTCTGGTCCTCAATCTCAAGTGCTGCAACAGTACAGCTTTGCCAAGAATGTTTGTTGAATGTGAGATTCACTATAAATATGCCCCTTTGAGGCTACTATACAAAGCTGCTGGAGATGTGTGTGTAATTATGTATATATGACTTGATATTGCAGACTGAGGTGTTATCATCGATCCTTTTAATGATAATCTAACGTAATAAAAGGCAATTGCAGATTTTTTTCTGAAGGTCATAAAGTTTAGAAATGTGAGGTATTTCCCTCAGGCGGGTGTGAGGTGTATTGTTTACAATAATGGGAAAGATAATCCTTCAGGCAGCAGGCAGTTGATTTACATATAATCTCCCTGTTGGTTGAGAAGCTGCTTTTCTGGACTAGTTTGCTGAATTCCCTCCCAAGACAAAGGGTTAATGTGATCAGCTGTTTGCAGAGGCCGTGCTTTATGCATCACTCATATCTTTTATACAAGTCCTGCCCTACTCCTGTGTGTGTGCGCAGCACCATGCGTTGTTACCTGTGACTCACTTCCGATCTCTGACATCGCTGTCTTGATCCTTGAGTTCACGTCTGGATGAGTCGGCACTGTGTGTGTATACGGATTTAATAAAGCCCATCCCTTTCTTGTTTATATCGATAATAGCCTTCCGTTCCATTATCAGCGAGCTTGGCAGACTTGCTGAAAATGTATTGTAAGTTATTGGCCTTCTTTAAAGTCAGTGGGTATCAATGTTTAATTAGGGGTGTGTGTGTATGTATGTATATGTAGATAGATAGATATAGAGATATACAGAGAGAGAGAGAGAGAGAGAGTATCTATCTATCTATCTATCTATCTATATCTATCTATCTATCTATCTATCTCAAGTTCTGAAACCATTGGAGTAGCATAATGGCCAATTACCCATAGGGCATCAAGAGCAGACATCATACCTCTCTGCAAAGGTTTAAGCTGGCCCTAGATGGATCGAAATTCGGCCACTTCAGCAAAGACCAGTCAAATTTCGATCCATCTATGGCCAGGCTGGTTGTACGGAAGTCGATCTCTCGATCAATTTCTGTAAACCAGCCTGTTGGAAAATTGTTGCTTGATCATTGCTACCGGCTATAGCCAGCAGTGCTGATGAGAAAACATGTGGGAGCCCCAGCTGTTCAGAAAACAATGTGTGGAAGTATTCCCCCCCATCCACCTTGAATGTGGATGGGGGAATCGATTAATTTTCTTTCATTCAATCTATTGATTAAACAAAAGAAATTGAACCATGTATGGCCTGCTCTACTTTCAGAACAGGCTCCTTGTTAACACAACAAAGCCTGGTTTGGTATAGTAAGGGCTTGTTCACACCAGCCCTGTTGGGAAGCAGTGTCCAACATAGTCCTAAGATCTAGGCAAAGCAATTGGCCCTGTGTATGAATATTTCAGTTCACACCAACACACTGGGGTTGATTTTACTAAAACTAGAGAATGCAAAATCTGGTGCAGCTGTGCAGAGAAACCAATCGCGTCCAGGTTTTATTTTTAAAGCTTAATAGAACAAGCTGAAGTTAGAAGTTATAGTCTGGATGAAAAAAGACAAAAGTACATCCAGTTAAACCATAAAATAATAATAATAAAAAAAAAAAACGTTATAATCCTATACCCACAGTTGATCCAGAGGAAGGCAAAAAAACCCCCAGAAAAGTATGATCCAATTTGCTCCCGCTGGGGAAGAAACGTCTTTCCTGATCCCCTGAGAGGCAATCGGATATTCCCTAGATCAACTTTACCTATAAATGTTAATATCCAGTTATATTCTGTGTATCTAGGAAAGAATCCAGGCCTTTTTTGAAGCAATCCACTAAGCTGGCCAGAACCAACTCTTGAGGGAGTCTATTCCACATTTTTACAGCTCTTATTGTGAAGAAACCTTTCTGTGTTTGGAGATTAAATCTCTTTTCCTCCAGACGTAAAGAGTGCCCCCTTGTCCTCTGTGATGACCTCAGGGTGAATAACTCTACTTCGAGTTCACTATATGAACCACTGATGTATTTATACATGTTGATCATATCCCCCCTTAATCTCCTCTTCTCAAGAGAGAATACATTTAGTTCCTCTAATCTTTCATCATAGCTGAGCTTCTCCATGCCTCTTATCAGTTTGGTTGCCCTTCTCTGTACTTTCTCCTGTTCCCCGAAGTTCTTTTTGTGAATTGGTGCCCAAAACTGAACTGCATATTCCAGATGAGGTATTACTAATGATTTGTACAGGGATAAAATGATCTCTCTCTCTCTGGAGTCTTTATCTCTTTTAATACAAGAGAGGATTTTGCTCCGCAGCTTGGCATTGCATGCCATTATTAAGATTGTGATCTACCAGAACTCCCAGATCCTTCTCCACCATTGATTCCCCCAGTTGTACTCCCCCCTAGTATGTATGATGCATGCATATTCTTAGCCCCCAAGTGCAGAACCTTACATTTATAAACATTAAACCTCATTTGCCTCATAGTTGCCCAATTAAGCAGTGCATTGAGGTTGGCTTGTAAGTTGGAGACATCCTGTAAGGATGTTATTCCACTGCACAGCTTGGTGTCATCTGCAAAGACTGAAACTATATTTTTATTCCCAGACCCAATATCATTTATAAATATATTAACGAGTAAGGGTCCCACCACTGAACCCTGTGGTACACCACTGACAACCCTAGACCATTCAGAGTATGAATCATTAACCACTACTCTTTGAATACGATCTTTTAGCCAGTTTTCTAATCATTTACATACAGATTTTTCCAAGCCAAGTTGATTGGCTACCATGCACAGCTGCACCAGATTTTGCACTTTCCAGTTTTAGTAAATCAACCCTACTGTGTTGGTGTGTACTGAAAAAAGTCGGACATGCTGCATTTTTGCACGGAACGTTGCGACGCACTATACCGCATCAAACCGCCATAATAAAATGCACAAGCTACATGTCCACTGGTGTGAAATGGGCCCATCTACAGTTGAGCAGTCCATCTCCAAACAGTGTTTTGTAGTGACGGGCAAGAACAACTTGCTCTCAGTCTATCAGGATGTAAACAGAGCAGTGGGAGGCTGCAAGCCATACTGATGGAAACCTATCTTATGTATAGTAAAGTAACCCACCACATTAGCAGAACGACTAATGAAACTTCTGTTACCCTTTAAAAGTAATTCATGGAAAATAGGACCTGCTGAGTTTTTTTATTAAAAGGATCAAAAAGAAATCAATTTACTGAAATGTTATAATTTCAGTAAATTGATTTCTTTTTGATCCTTTTAATTTTTCACGTTTTAAGCTGTTACATATCTTGACCATGTTTTGTTTACATATACAACCATATTAAAATGACCTAGGTAAAACAGAGTAGAAGCTCCATTGTAGAAGGGGTTATGCTGTCCTAGGGCAACTGTGGCCACTTACTGTACTGTATCAATGGAGGAGTAGTGTTGTCACCTTAGAACAGGAAGTGTTTTAGGACTACAGAACACCCCTCCTCTCCTCTTCCACATTACATAGGGGTAGGTGTTCTGTAGTTCTTAAAGATAGCCGGGGACAGTGTACCTAATAATGCAGCAGAGGCTAGAAACACAAAATTTTCAACTCACAAGATTTCTGGTAGGATCAGCAGGGATTTTTTGCATTTATTGAACATCCATAACAAACTGCTTTCAATGCTATATGTATCAGACCAAAACAGAGCAAATAATTTCGTTGTTAAGGTTTACATACACTTTAAGAGATGACTGCTGATGTTTTCACCTTCTGATTCTTCCAATAACACCCTTCTTGTCCTGGGTGACAGCTTTTGCACTTTTTAATTGAACAAGCCATATAGTGCGATTATATTCATGGCTGTGTTAGAAAAAATCTACCTGTTTTAAGGCAGAGTGGTGACTAAAACAATGTCGTAGATTTGGGAAAACTAATAGATGAATGCCTTTCTTCTGTCATGGATGAATAGGGAAACCCCTGCTTATGAAGTGGTTTATTGGTTATTTTGAAATATTTATCATTATTAAAACTATTTTTGAAGGATTTTAAGAATATTAATAATGGTATAGTTATACCTCAACTTGGAATTTTAGGTTTTGGTATGTTTTGCTTGCTTTAGAATAACCAACGTCTCGCTGAAACCACTTACCAGTTCAAATATTGTCTCATGCCTAGGTGGTCCATTTCTATGGAGGTGGCTTCACCTTTAATAACCAGTCCGTCTTGTTCCAGACTTTTTTTTTCTATGTGATACTGAACTTTTTTTTTTTCTTTTTTTCTTTTCCTATTGTTCCAGGATATCAGTGACTGTTACTTGGAATTGTTTCAGTCCCACCTGTACTTCCAGTCTCGTGGTCCTACCGGTTTGACATATCAGGTATGTTACCTCCCTTCAGTGTGATGAATAGCATGGCCTCATCAACAGGCTATGGGAATATTTTAACACTGCAGAAACAAAAAGGGACTTCTTGTATTTCCAGACAGATAAATCCTGCTCAAATATCTCTTGACCTTTCACCCCCCAGGGTCACATCCATTACATGAGTTTACACAACACTAATGCTCATCTTTTATCTGAGCCCTGAGAAACACGATGACTCTTTCCAGGATTTTTTGAAAACATAAACATATTTTGAGTTGGCTGTTTGTGGTGTTGTCTGATGTTTAGATCTTGTGTGTTGTCAGTCCCGGAGTGAAGAATTTGCCTGTTTTAGTGCTTTGTTTATCATCCAACAAGCATTGCTGTACTTGGATATCGGTGAGGTTTATGGGTCATGTTTTGATGCCACACACACACTCAACAGACAAGATTAAAGCCTTTACCACATGGGAAATCTCTGACATGTGGTGCTACGTAACCAGTGCCGCTGCTGTCCAGTGACTTTGAATTTTATCTACTTTAAACACTGCTTCCTAAACGATCATTATAAACCACTGCGACATTCTGCAGTTCAGGGCGATTATTCTGGGAACACAATTTTTCTCGATCCGCGTCTGCAGCCAATTCAGCCTGGTGGCTAAACATGGAAAAAAAAAAAAAAAAGGAAGACCGTATGTCCAGCTTTAAGAAGAATATTGGTAATGCCCCCAGCAGACAGTTGACTACTATGTTTATAACTGGATGCGTTGCAGGTGGAATTTGATATACAGGAATCTGTGCAGACTGTGATTGGGATGACACTTCTCAAACGAAACATAATTTACTATAATATATTTATTAGAGGTACTTATATATAGTGCCATCAATTTACACAGTGCTTTACAAATATATTGTAGACTCACATCTGTCCCTGCTCAAAGAGCTTACAATCTAAGGTCCCTAACTCACATGGGCATTACCAGTATACTGTACATACACATACTAGGGCCAATTTAGACAGGAGAAAATAATATCTGCATGTTCTCTAGCATTTTGACCATAAGCCAGTGTGGGTTTCTGTTGCTCTGGTTTAGACTGATTGGGTATTCTCACAGCGCCCTTTGTGCTATGGTTGGAGAGATAAAGGGTTAGCTTACCTTTTCAGTAATATACACCAGTTTTCCTCAACCTTTTTCAGTCAAGGCACCCTTTTACAATTTTGGACAGCCTTGAGGCACCCCATTCTAAAATATAAAAAAACTATTCTAATAGTTATACATAATGCATCAACATCCACACATATAGGCCACCCAAAGTTTAAGGTGATGTATTCTTCCAAAGCAAATTACACTTTTGCACACTGGTACTGACTAGTATTCCAGTGTTTCTCTTCTCCCTCAGTTTTTCTCGATCATTCGGCTAATGTGACCTCAGCCCTGAAGGAGAGAGGCAGGAGAGGGGCAAACAAGGATGCTGTACAAGCGCCCACTGTCGTCCTCAACTGATGTCATTGGTTTTTGGGATGCTGATGGCTAGAAGGTCGTAATGGTGCACAATGAAAACCTATGGCTTTGTGTAACTAAAAGGCAGGCTTCATCCACCTGCTGGCTTGTATACAAGTTTTGGGTAATTTTTAGGCATTTTGCCAAGGAAACTCTGAAGAAACCTCAAGGCACCCTGCCTTGAAAAAGGATGGTATACATAATGTAGTCAAGGGGTCCCAGTGTACTTAAAACCCTATGCAGCTTTGAAATATGGCACAAACCATTGCTCGTCCCCAGCAACACAGGAGTGGCGTTCTCCTTGTTCAAACCCCCATGCATGTGCAGTGCACTCCTCTCTCTATCTATTTATATATATATATATATATATATATATATATATATATATATATATATATATATATATATATATATATATATATATATATATATAAAGATGTAAATATTGTAACGTACCAGTCCTTATATATGCTAGTGTTATTGGTTTTATTTTCGTTTTTTTTTTTCGCCACTGTATTTACTTGGTGATTCTGCCAGTAACACCTTTCCTGTCTTAGAGTGACAATGCATAATTGCCCTTCTGTATCAGAACAACAGGACTACCCTGTCCTATTGTCCATAATATAGATGGGTGTGGTTCTGCATCCTAGCAACAGGACAAGTACAGCAATCTGTAGAAGTTTTTTGACCAGGGGGGATGCAAATAGCCTACAGTGGTGTTAGTTTAACCAAGCACAATATTTTAAAGCTGAATAGGGTTTTTTAATACATTGGGGCCTTTTGACTTCATGGTATATTTTATTGAAAACGTGAACTAACCCTTTATAATTAGGGAAACTTGCAGCGTTATTGAAATCTTATAGTTAAAGGTGAACTCCAAGAGGTTACAAGATTACTAGTTATTGTAGATAATCTGTATACATTACAAAATGAGGGTAAGTACCATAATTTGTCTTGATATCAGCATCCTGCACTCTCCACATGCTGCCAGGAGGAGACAGCAGAGGGAAGACTTCATGAGTTTGCTGCTTCTACTTCATTCTCCAATCAGCAGGCTGGGGGGCGTGCTGCTCTGTTGTGCTCGGGTGAAGGTCGAGGGTTTTGCTGTACTATCTGGATCACAAAGCTGTTTGAACAGAACCACAAATCATTTGGCAGAATACAGTTTATTATGTGGTTTATCTGTGTATATAGCCGCCTGCCAGGTGTCCATTCTCAATTACACATCTAAGAGGGACCATTAAAGCATCATTGTGTTTATCAAGGACTTTTCTATATTAAGCTGCCCTTTCTTCGAAACAAAACTTGTTCCCATCAGGCCTCTAACGCTTTGTTTGGTAGTTCAATATCTGGAAGTGGTCTAAGTCCCTCTACATATCTATGGGGCTTTGCTAACGTGCACATTTGGTGGCACACATCACTTAACAGCATCTTTGTTTTCAGCATTCTGGACACATTCACCATCTCGGCTGTACACCAGTCACTGATTAAATGCTATGCATTGTTCTTCACTCAGATACTTGCTCTCACATTTCTCTTCCTCTGTATTGACACTCAGGATTCCTCTGTATTGACACACAGGATTAATTAATAGGCAGCCTGAACTGATGTGTGATCATCCCTGGGCATCTGATTTCACTGTCCATTGGTTTAATGTAGTTAGAACAAAGAAAAGTGATTGATGCTCACTTGTTTTGGGTGTCTAAGGTGGCTCTTTATCTTAGTAAATACACCCTCTTGGCAGTTATTTATTGAATTGATTTGAATCCTGGTCTGATGTGCTGAGTCACTGTTGTCATTGCTTATTTTTCAGGGTTTGGTGCCACTGAAGGAGTTGAGCGTTTATAAATTAGAGCGCTCTAAGGTTCCACCCAAGCTGGAGGAAGAGCATGCTTTCCGAATCACAGGTAAAAAAAAAAAAAATGAAAGGCCAAGCTATTTATTATTATTATTATTATTATTATTATTATTATTATTATTATACAGGATTTATATAGCGCCAACAGTTTGCTCAGCACTTTACAATATAAAGGAAGACAATACAGCAATGATACAGTTCAATACAAGAGGATTATTTCTTTGTGGTCCATTGCTTTTATATGATATGATTTACTACAAATGTTTGTCTTTGCTGACTTTTGTACATCAACCTGCCAATACAATTAGCCGTACATTTTCTAGAATATGTTGCATTGCTTTTCATTCATCTGGAGTATTTGTTTACGTTCCCTTCTTGTACGGTGTCCCTTTTCTTATAAAAATGGTGGCTTAGTGGTGAGCTGGTTAGCATGCTTGGCTTGCAACACTCAGTTCCTATGTTTAGTACTATCCAGGGACAGCATAAGCATAGACTTAGTGCGGTATGTTGGCTTTCATTGACATGAACACCGCTCCAGGATTTTCAGCAACAAAAATAAGTTGGAAAGTAAAATGTGTCCCCTACACCCCTTGACCTCCTCATTTAAGCCCTAAAGGTTACCATAACCCCAGAATAAACCCTCAACACTTCTGGTATCTGCAACAATAAACCGCTTAAGAGTGAAATAAAGGTAAATCTATAGTGCTGGTGGGGACGGGAGGTTAGGGCATTATAATGAAACTTTTGCATATGTGAGGCATTGATTCACTTATAACACGTAGATTTGTAATACTGTATGCTGTCGGTCCTGAAGAATTTGCATGTCTTTCCATCTATAGTTATTTTTTTTTCTGTTTAGGTCCCTTGCTCAATCCTCTAATTGTCTATTGTGCAACCCCGCAAGAGTTGCAGAAATGGCTTTACCACTTAGAAAAACAGATCCAACTCAATGGAGGAAACCTGGACTTGTTGCCTGTTACAGAGGTATGTCTGAGACCAAAAAGTAGCATTTTATGTGTACATCCATATTTGGGATAATGCAGTTTTTGGCTTGAGTGTGGTGCTAGATACACATACAGAAGGATCAAATTTACAGCTCTAATAAGTTTCTTGGAACTGTGTGATGATTACTTGGACATCTGTAGACTATGAAGGCTATACTTACTGCATCCTTCTTCTTTTTTTTTTTTTTCAGTTGCACTCTATAAGTGTAGTTGCTCCAGAGCTTAGAAAAATGAGGTGATGTTCTGCTGACTTCCATCATCCAATCATGTGCCAGCATGTGATTGGATGGTATTTGCAAAGTGAAACTTCATCTCGTTTACTAATCTATGAAGCGATTGCACTTGCAGAGTGCATGTGCACTTCCAAATTGCACATTCTACACGTCTTTGGTAAATCCACCCCCATGACTTATTGTATGACGTCTTCAACATGATGTATCATCATGGTCTTTACAGCTATGATAACAGAGTATTTATTTCAGTATTCTTAAAAATGCCTTAAGTATAGGGTTGGTGTTAAGGATCAGGTTCTAGCGAAGGGTTACATTTAGGAGTTACACATCTAGGATTGAGGTTAAAGTGTAACTTCAGCCAAAATTTTCGATGGAGTGCAGAAAGGTTAGAACCTCTGTGATGTTATCCCCGGTTCACATATATGCGGCCGTGCGGGCCAAGGTTTGAACGGGCACGAGGGCCCATTCATTTGAATGGACTCCTGTGCCCGTGACACAGGGAAGAAGTCCCTGCACTTCTTGGAAAACGCAGCCCACATGGGAACCTCTGTTCCCAGTACGGTTGTGTTTTCCAGTTAGAACTAATTGCACCCGCCTGCCGGTCCGCATTTCTCTGTGCAGGTGGTGTGGCTGCATGGATTTTTGTGTGGATCCGCAGCGGCACCACCCGCACAGATGTGAACCTAGGGTTAAGGTTGGCAGTAGAAGAAAAGTGCGGAATTCTTAAAGTAGTAGGTGTTGTTCTTCAGGTTTCAAGCACTGCAAAAGAAGGAATATCTTTCCGCATCTCTCCAAGGACTTGGCAGAGACAGTAGCAGCTCCTGCTACTGTCAGTCACAGCCAGTGAGCCATTGAGGCGAGAGAGAGGGTGGGGCCAAGCTGCTACTACTCTGTGTGTGTGAATGGACTTGCAAAGCAGTGGCTCAGGAGCAAACCTGCTTGGGTGCTCCTATAGCAAGCAGCTTGCTTTGGGGGCACTTGGCAGGAGGAAGGGGCCAGGAGCCCCAGCAGGGGACCCAAGAAGAAGAGGATCGCGGCTGTTCTGTTCCAAACCACTGCCCAGAGCAGGTAAGTATGGCATGTTAAAAAAAAAAAAAATTGCCTTTAATATTACTTTAAGGTTGTTTGAGGTTTCATTGAGATGTCCCCTCACTTCCTGTCTTAGTGGAAATGTGGTGATAGGAACAAGAAGTGCAAAAACACTTCCAATGAGTATGTAGAAGGCAATAAAAAGCCAATGAAAATCCTAGTTGGAGATAACCTTAGGAGTTCGATGTACTGTTAGCACGTTGTATTAAAGACCAGGAATACTGACCAATTTTATAGGCCTGAAAAATCAATTTTTAAATGTTAAAATGTGCAGCGTGTGATGAAGGGTATTTGTATCGAAATTTGCATAGTGCTGCTTAAAGCCTCTTAAAGACAATTGCTTTTGCAGCCGTTGCTCTGTATTGCTGCGGTTGTTGCTTACCAAAGAGGACTAATGACTTATGGCAGGAAAGGGAGTCTTGCAAGGAGGAAAGTCTATCCTGTAGCCAACACATATTTCACAGTTGAAGACAGCCGATTCCACCTGTTCACTGGAGCAGTGCAGCTGTGATCAGTACAGAGGGAGTCTCACACTCTCCAGCTGTCACTTTGCACAGGGGCTGTTTAATAGCCATTTAATGAGCCCACTTTTCAGTGCCTGTTATAGATTGGCTGCTGTTAGATGTTTACATTCTACTCTCTTACTTTTTTTTTTTTTTTTTTTTTTTTTTTTTTTTTAAACCAACCCTCGTGCATTGTACAAAGTCAGTAGGTAAAAATATTGTGCAACATAAAAAAAGTTTATAACACTTTTTTTTGGAGCAGTACATAATGGGCACCCAATGTATCTGTATGGAGGGGTGTTTATACCATGGCACATTGTCCTGGGGGCACATGAGCAATGCAACCTGTTATACAGGTTCCACTTTTTTTCCTCTTCAAAATAAAATATATGCAATTTGAAGCAAGAGGTGTTTAAAATATCTATTTCTTGGGCTCCGGTGTTGCATGTTAGACCACTACTAAAAGAAATATAGGGACCCCATTTTGCAGATGTTGTATTCCTGCCTGCTATGCTAATCTATTGGCTTCAATTCTGTGACCCATTTGTGTGACTAACGTGGGTCCTGGAGAGACCAAGGGCCATCGTATATAATGAATCATTAGTATACAATATTAGCTTTTTCGGACAGAAAATTTAGATTGTGAAATGCAGCTTTGTCACTTTCTTAAAGTGTTACCAAACCCACAACAGTAAAATCAGTCTATATGCAGTAAAGCATGCTTGTTATACTCACTGTGGAACCGAAGGGTTAATCTTCTGCATTGTGTAAAAAGGTCCTTTGATTTTTTTCTTCTCTGTTCCTCCCCTTTTTCAAGCAACCACCTCTTATCTCCTGATAAAACAGACTGATCCGTAGGCATTTGCACATGCTCAGCTTGGTGTGTATTGCTAGAGAGGTTTTTTTTTATCTTGGGAGAGTGCATGTGATCAGCACAGGGCCAATCAGCACTGTCCAGACAGGTCAGGGGTTTTGCATCCTCCTAGAGCAGAAAGAAAACTCCTCCTTCAAGCTTTAGCTAGTGCTGGGCTGGACACTGATAGAAGTCACAAGACTGCTATGTACTGCAGATGAGAAAGTATTTAGCAGTTTATATTTACTAAAATAATTGCTGTTCTGTGTACTGTGGGAGACCAGATATAGTGAATGCAGGGTCCGGGGTTTAGTAACACTTTAAACCTACTCAAAGCCCAAGAGCAGAAATTCTATATATTGCAGCTTACCATTCAATAGATGTGGTGGCTGCATGCATTTACTTTCAGGCTTTTCTTCCTTTATTTCACCTGATGATCCTGCCAGTAACACACGTTGCATCCTAGGGTGACAACACTCACCACTAACCACACCATTTCTGTGAAGAAGCAGCATTGTCACAGGCGGGAAGTGTTAGGACCGCTGAACAACTCTTCTCTGTGACAAAGTGGAGAGGTTCTGTAGTCCAGAGATTTCTGGGAGCAGTGGAATTGCTAGGAGTGCAGCACAGGAAATGATCAGCTGAAAAGATTTCTAGCAGGATTAACAGGTGTAGTTTGTACTTTTCAAACCGTTCTAACAAAACACTTTCTGTATATTTGACACCGCAAAGATGGCAAAAAGGAGAATTTCATTGTTCGATTTACATGCGTATTAATATGGTGTCCTCTAGGTTTATTGATAGGTGATGGGTCAGTACTTGTGTATGGATGTTCCATAGTTGTCTTTATATTCACATCCATGGACACTTTGCCAGGCTGGAGTCTACAATGTTGTGCTGTACTGACAAAAAATGAATTGTACTTCACATACGTTTATGCAATATACATGTGTTTTGTTTTTTTAAGCCCTGTAATTATTGATTTCAATTGAATCACATAAAGAAGGCTTTTTTTTTTTTTTTGCCAAAACCGAAAACCAGTGACCTAGAATTGAAGATCAGATGTTTAGAACTAGGATTTGTCCCTGGGAAGCTGTAATAATTGAGAACTATGTATGTATTTCATTGGCTCAGCTCTTTTTTATGCAGGTTTCTTGGCTAGCACTTTGGCTGAGTAGGAGTTACTAGCTCAGCTGTTCTAGTGGGCCCCTGGAGTGCTTGTTCTCCATCTTAGCACCTTTTCTGAGTGAGTTTAGTTAAAGAAGAACTAAACCCATTTAATGGTTTCCCAAAGTCCTTACATTTGAGTCATGTCATGAATGATAACTTGCCGCAGTTACTTGTGCTCTCAACCAAACTGTCAGGCCATCAAATGACTGATGACATGTGCAGCACCATGCCAACTGCAGATCTAAGGCTAGGTTCACACCTATGTAGTTTGCGTTTGATGTGCTTTTTGCGGTGCGTTTTGCGGGGGTTTTTTTTTTGCACATGCGTTTTGTGGGTTTTTTTTCTTTCAACTTGTTGCTGGTCAAAATAAAATGCAAAATGCATCAAAAACGCACTACATGCTTTTCTGCAGCGTCTCCATTGAAGTCTATATAACCAAAACCACAACGTTTTGCGTTTAGAAAAAAAAAAAAAAGAGTCCCTGACCTTTTCCAAAAAACACACCAGGTGAAAACGAGATGTGAACCTGTCCCATAGGAAATCTTGTTAAATGGACTGCTGTGTGTTTATGCAAAATGCAGCGGAAAACGCATAGGTGTGGACCTAGACTGACAGAGGCTAAGATGGCAGCTTCCTTAGCTGTATGCAAAGTATAAATAGGTTGATATAATCTTTCATTTGATGATCAAATCCCTTTTTTTACTTTTAAATATCAGTTGGTCCAGACTGTCATATTGGTTGATTTTACGCGATTGCTTTGAAATCAGAGCAGTCAGACTTCTTGAAAAGTTTGCTCATTTTTAACTGATCATGTGACATAATCTACACGTGTGGTTGGCCAGCCAACAATCTTCTGTACCAGGCCCCTTTAATGCTTTGAAGATCCTCATGCAGGCCTGTTTAATAAAGCAAAATGAACAGCAATAATTCTATGCAGCAACCAATCCATATCTGCTGATTGTTCTGGAACAGCTGATGGTCAAAAAAAAAAAACAAAAATGCCATGGCATCGTGTACATTGACACCTGGTATGATGTGCCATGGGACAGTTTATCCGCTTCCCCTCAGCCCTATAGTAGATATACTGCTACAGGGCGGCAGGGGTGTGCAAAATTGCGTGTATGTATATATATATATGTGTGTGTGTGTGTGTGTGTGTGTGTAGAGAGAATATAATTTTGCATTTCTGGGTAGGGGGCACGTGCGAGCCCTACCCGCACCGCTATTCACGGCCTCGGCTGTCCATCACCCAGTCCCGGACGGCGCGCCAGCACCCGGTGATGGAGCAGGTTTATCGACGGAGGGAGAGAACTGTAAGTAAACAAAACGGTTCTCTCCCGTGTCAGCTCCTGCGCACTGCTATGCATGGCTTTGCATAGCAGAGCGCTTACAGTGAAGCACACAGTTAACCCTTTGATCGCCCCACATGTTAACCCCTTCCTGCCCAGTGCCATTAGTACAGTGTCAGTGCTTTTTATTAGCACTGTATTGGTGTCATTGGGGATGTCGGGGACACCAAGTCGGTTCCCCCCCCCCCCCCCCCCGTGTCAGAATGCCTGCTGCGGTCCCGCTATAAGTCACTGATCGCCGCCATTACTAGTAAAAAAAAAAAATCCCAGTGTGTATATACCGCCATTTCTAAATGCTATAACTTTCATGTAAACAAATTTATTTACACGTATTGGGATTTTTTTTTTTTTTTTTTTTTTTAGCAAAGACATGTAGCAGAATACATTTTGGCCTAAATTTATCACGAAATTTGATTTTTTTTTTTTTTTTTTTTTTTTACTGGACATGTTTAATAGCAAAAAGTAAAAAGTATTGTTTTTTTTTCTCTCTCAAAATTGTCGCTTTTTTTTTTTGTAGCGCATAAAATAAAAAATGCACGGGCAATCAAATACCCCAAAAGAAAGCTCTATTCGTGGGGGAAAAAAAGGACGTAAATTCCATTTGGGTGTGGTGTTGCATGACCGTGCAATTGTCAGTTAAAGTAGCGCAGCGCTGTAACACAAAAAATGGCCTGGTCAGAGGGGTAGATCCTCTGGAGGGCAAGTGGTTAAAAGTCGGCGACTGTCTAGCACACCAACCTGCTTGCAACCGTCAGAACAATTGAACGGAATTTGTAACTGACTGGTTGCTATGGGATATTGGGCTTTGTACATTGCTCTTTTGTTTTATAAAAGCATGCTCATGAGTGATAAGTAGTTCATGATTGATGGACGGGAAGGCCTTGTGCAATGCCTTAATAACTACATTTCCAGATCATAAAACCCGGCTCTGATCCTGCGTCCTCTTTCACCTTCCATGCTCTTTTCTCTGTTTGCACCTGTGGCTCCTGAAACTCGAGATTTAGCTGCTATGGGAACAGACAGTCCTGGACAGCAGCAACAGCTGTTGAGGGTGGAGAGGCTTGCCTGGCCTGCTAAGGGAATACCCTGGGTGTTAACACACATGCAAGCCGACTGGGTCACGCAGCATGGCTCGCTTCCTCCTCAACTCAGTTTCTCTGGCTGAAGTTATCCCTCCACCAAAAAAAAAAAAAAAAAGCAAGAAAACAAAGAAATCTTCTATGGTGCAGGACTTTAAAACCCTAAACTGGACAATATACACGAATCAAATGTTGATTTAAGCCCACTAAAGATTAGCAAATTGAACGAACATTCTAAAAATGAAAAAAATGTCCTACAAAATCATAATAGTGTATGGCCAGGAGCAGAGAAAACGTTTTTTCTTCTGTGCAGGAAATATGTTTGAATTAAAATGTATTGAACCCTCATTTTGTAAACAACCCATTCAGTTTCAAATTGAAATAGAACGCAAAAAAGTGTGTGTGTATACATAAAAAAAACAAACATAAATGCTCTCTGTTCTCATTTGCATAAAGAGCTCAGAGAGCTAGGGGAGAAGAAACAGCATCAAACTGATCATCCCAGGGAATGGCTGTGCGGGGGGGGGGGGGGGGGGGGGGGGCACACAGCACAGTTACAAAACTTACCATGCTGTGCTTTCCAGCCTAGCATAGTCAGTTTTTATTAGGAAAGCAGAGGGACTGACTGGCAGGAACACCAGGGATTTCACACAAAGGAAGCAATACAAAGAAAGCAGGACACTTTTTCAACAAGTACATAGTGCAGCAACCACAGATCAGAACTATGAAATTTTGGGTTTACATCTTGTATTCTATATTATAGTGTATGTAGCCCATCAAGAAATGTTGCTCCTTTCTGGTGTGTTGAATATAGTATTGAAAGTGTTTTTGGTATACCTATTCAGTAAGTGCAAAAAATAGCCATTGATCCTGCCAGAAATCTTGTAAGCTGAAAACTGTCTGCATTCTTATCAGTTAACAAAAAGAACAAATGTTCTAAAGATGAGAAGAGATAAGTGTTCTGTAGTTTTGGCAAACTTCCTATTGTAGGGTGATCACGTAACCCCTCCATAGATGCAGTACTGTGAATGAATATTGTCACCAGAGGGCAGGAAGTGTGTTACTGGTAGGATCCCAAGGTATAAAAAAACAAAAGCAAATGCAGCCACCGTATCGAAGAGATAAGCTACAATATATATGAATTTTGTTCTTGGGTTTAGGTACCCAGTTCTGTGAAATGTCTGAGCAGACTGCAGTGTATGCATGTTTTACTATGCTTTGTTATTTCGATCATTGTGATTTGTGGTTTGTCAGTGATAATGGGTAATGGGAGAGTTAAATTGTTTCCATTAGGATTATATAGGAATCATTGTGATTTAAATTATGAATGACCATCTGATACATGCCTATTGGCAGCACCTCTCCCACTGCTTGTAATAATCTGAATACTTGTTTTAGCTGGTCATAACTACACACCAAAAGAATTTTGTTCAAACATTCATATGGAAATTCTGAAAAATTGTTCATCAGAGCATTCGCTCTTGTTGTCATTGAGTCAATTAATTTCCTTTGAAAGCCATTAAAATTTTTGTCCTGTCTGGATTCCCAGACTTATTAAACCAGCTTCTTTTGTGCATAGAATATGCGCATCATAATGTGTTTTTGTCCGTTTTTTAGAAAAAATTTCCATCCAGCTCCTTCGAATTTACTCATCGGTATGGTTAAAAAACCGTGGACAACTTGACCTCACAAACAATTAGAAAATTGAACTAAGGTTCCAGAAAAAAGAAAAAAAAAGTTACAAAGCAGCTACAAGTATATAACCAGATTTAGTGTAAAAACGCCCAAAAAAGTTTTTTGTTTTTTTTTTTTTCCCCTAAATCCCATTAAATATAATGTCTACATTTAAGGCTGTAAGGTTTGTCATCTGATTACTTAGTACACTATTTTTGCTACCTGCAAAGGTTTTAAAGCGAACAAATGTTCATGTGAGGTTATCAGTAGCAATGATTTAATAGCTGGCCCTTGTCTCATCCGCCTATAGACAAACTCCAAGTCCAGACTGGTGACCTCACTTTTGTCTACCACAATTAAGCAATTCAGCTAGGTCACCTCCCAAACCCAAGTCTGTGATTGGACAGGGTAGGAGCAGCAGGTTGAAGAGCTCATCACTCTTCTCTTTCTGTCTGTATGTTTCATGGCAATATATTTTCTAATATCTGCCTGGTGTACATCTTCAAGTGACAGTGTTAGGGTGGACTTGATCTAATTCTTCCTGTACTTGTCATCTCTTCTTGTTTATTGCCCTCCAAGAGTAGTCCGATATAAATTTTATTTTTATTTTCACCCAGGTAAACAATGGTAATATGTGGGAGAAGTCTGAGCTTAGGAGGTCTGTACAGAACCAGCCAGTGCTCGACTGGCAAGGAACACAGAGGGAATCCCTTGGTGCCATCACCTGTATCTCCAAAGTGAAGCTTCAGACACTTCCGTTCCAGGTTTGTGCTGCTGTGTTTTAGCAGAATAGTTTTCTATTTAATTATTGTTCTCTAATTGCCTAAAGTATCAGTACCAATACAAAATGCACTCCTAAATTGCTCCTTTACCCTAACCTAAATTTACTCGAAATTGATGGCCGGAGCCTCCAGTGTTTCCAATCCTAGCTGTGCCTGCACATGACTGTCTCCCACAGTCTCTTTATCTCCGGCCTCAGGGCACACTACTGTAGAGGGCTATGGTGCTGTATGGTACAGACAAGGCCAATACAGTAAGACAGTAGATTGCCGCCGCAAGCTGCTCCCCAATGTCCTGAAGCGTAAGTTTAGTTATGTTTTTTTTTTTCCCTGACATATAGGTTCAGTAACATCCCACACTGAGTTGATTGCTCCATAGTGTAGAAACGTTCCCTGCAGTGATGACCCATCCTCTTTACATTCTGGCACTGCAGAGGTTAACTTCATCAGCTCTAACACTGCAGAATATTGAAGAAGCCCTGATGTCCTCCAGCCCCTCTCTGTTCTCTTTTCCATTCAGAAAAGTCCTTGTATTGTTTTCACAGAATGCAACACGTTCTGCGAATGGAGGAGGATATCCTGTCATTCCTTCACCCCACTCCCATTCACAGAAAGTTACATTCTGTGAAAACAATACAAAGATTTTTCTGACTTCATTTTGCCATTTAACCTCTGCCGAGGGAGTTAACTTGTGCAGTGGCATAAGTTCAGCAATGTGAAGAGAGCCTGTCATCACTGCAGGGAACATTTTTTTTTCTCACGAAGGAGCAATCAGTGCATGGGGATATACTTCATTAGAGACAAGTAAAGTTACTGGACTTGTATCCCTGATTTTTTTTTTTTTTTTTTTTTTTTTTTTAATTAAACTTCAGTTTTAGGATGTCCAGATAATGCATTTAACTGACAAGTCAAAAGAGATGAATATTAAAGGACACCTATACTGAGGGAACTACATACACTGCCATTGTTGATCACCTTCTGAAAATGCTAATTCCCTGGCTGTCTCCTATTCTTTCTATGTCACTGACACAAAACAAGCAACCAGCCAGAGAAGTTATAACTTCTGATTTGCGTATTTATTCTGGGTCAGTGACTCAGGAAATGCTGAAGCCCTTAGATGAGCTTGATTGCCAGACAACTGTCATTTTGAACAGAATGTCAGAAATGATATCTTACATATTTCTCCATGTAAGCTTTCTTTAAGATTTCAGATACGCTTTTCTGAAAAGTTATTTTTCTGTAGGTTTTTTCCATAATGTCTGCTGTTGGTAGCTGAGTCATACATTCAGGTCATGCCTTGAAGGAAGTGTCCTTTGGCCTGATCATCTTTTTCCATATTACGAGGATGAATTGTGATAAAATGTGCCGTTCATCAGACATTCATCCATGACATACTGTATTTAGAAAGTAAAACATATTCTTTGAATCTGTTTTGTGATTAGAAAGGAATGTAATAACAAGGACATTGCTCTGTTAATTTACATATGTCACAATGATAAGTAAGCTTCTTGTTATCATGCTGTGTTTGTATTTTCACATTTATTTCTGTGTCCAATAACTTTAAGTAGAACCTGTCAAGAATGAGGGATTTGTGGCTTTCCACCCCTAAAGTGTATGTAAAGGATAGTGTGTGTCGGGCTTGGAACCTCTGCCAAGACTTTACTGTGTCTCCAATGGGGAGATTCACCCCTCTGTTTGTCCTGGTGATCATTGTCACAGAGACAGAAAAGTTAAATTCTGAAGGATATGTTCACCTCCAAGAACATGTTCCACCCATTTTTAAGGTGGAACATGTAACATGTTCCCGCTCCTAAATCTGCTCAGCGGTCCAGGCTCTCTGTGTGACAGCTGGTGCGGGGAACTTTTCCCCATACTGCTGTCACTTTTTCCACCCACATGGCCACATCATTCATTCACAGAGTTCTGTGAATGAATGAACTACAAGTACCGATATCCTTTGCGGATGTCGTAGTTCTCAAATACCATGGTGCTGTTGAGCACTGTGGTAGTTTGATTCCTTCTGTCAGTGTGACCCTGCCGATGTATGGGCTGACAGCTTACACTGACAGTCTGCAGTCCTGCATGGTTCCAGCAATCTGTTGACCACTGGTGCAATCCTTTGCAGGGTCCTTTTTAAAAAAAAAAAAAAAAAAAAAAAGTTTTTTTTTTTTTACCTGCAAAAAAAATGCACATTTTTATTTTTTTTTTTTAGAGGGTGAACCTGTTCTTTAAATCTGAGAATTGTCAGGGCACCAAGGAGAAATCTTCCAGTGACATATTTTTCTTATGACGTCTAAGATGGGAATTTCCCTCACTTTCTCTCACATTCTGTTGCATCTCCAAGATGAGAAGTAATGGTAAATATCTCCAGAAGGATACAGATAGCAAGCAAATAACCTGATAAGGGTTTTAACGATTCGTAACACTAAGAAAAAAAAAAATAAAGGCTATTTGTACACTTTTTTTGTTATAATAGTGCAACCTTACCTCCTGTCTCCTGCCTTGGCTTGTCTGTCTGGACATCCAATGGAATCTCTTTTGAATATATTTATTACCAGAACTGCTAATTCACAAATGTAATACTTTTTCAGTTGCAGCATGATGGGTCTTCAACTTTGTTTATTCTTACAGGAGCTGAACGAGAGGATGTTGGTCCTGTACCCTTCTACTCTCGTGATACTTTCAGAAGAGGGAAAAAACCTTTGCTTTAAGGTAAGCATGTTTGTGTTTATTACAAAACATTCATGTGTCCTTTAGTTTCAGTTAAACTGTGATATGAAGAGGACATTGCCTCATACCCATTATACTAAGCAGAATAGAGTCTTAATATTTAATACTTTGGTTCTCGTAGAGAAGGTTACATTGTAGTACTAGATTTCACCAGTGGATGGTGCTGTGGGTGAAACATACAATTACAGCTCCTGGTCATGATAAAACCCAGTAGCTGTAGGAGGGGAGTCGGCAACTCGGAGAACCTACAGCTTGCTTCATTCGGTGATAAAGAAAAAAATCTATTGAGGAACTGTCTGAGCTTTTATGTACAGAACATCAAGCATGATCTCTTAGAGAATGCATATTGTGCGTGTCCTATTTTTCTGTGAGCACATACATCATCAGGCATGGAGCTGTGTCTACATGCCTCTGTATCTAGAGGAACTGGTTGTGACTCAGCATAGACTGACACTATAGAGAGAGGTGTGTGTGAGAACAGGATGCCAAGTGTAAATTACTAAATTGTCTTCTTCAGGCAGTGATGACACCCTCCTTATAATTGATGCTAATTAATAATCCCTTTACCACCAGAAGAACAGCTTTGGGTTGTGGCAGCTGCAAGTTTGGTTAAAGCTTTCAGCAGTGATATGTACAATTCATCAATTCTTTTGTATTAACAGGGAGAACTGCCGCTTAAAGCCATACGGGTAATTGCAGATGAGAAAGAAAAACGGAAGTCTTCTTTCTTATTAGAAGGTGAGAAGAAATGGATGCTGTAAGGTGTCCGTACACCAAAGTATGTAGAATTGCAAGACTCTGGCTTTTGTTTAGGGCAGTGGTTCCAAAACCCTATCCCAAAATACCCCCAACAGGTCATGGTTTGGGAATTTCCCTTGGATAAAATAGTGGTCATAAATACCAAGCCATTGACATTAATTTAGAGCACCTTTGCAAAGTGAAGAAAATCCTGAAAGCATGACCTGTAGAGGGTATTTAGGGATCGAGGTTGGAAACCACTGGTTTATTGGTTTAGAGCAGTGGTCTCAAAACTGTTGGCTGGGGGCCAGATGTGGCCTTTGCTTGCCTTTATCTGGCCTTTTGGCACTATTTCTCTCACTGACACCAACAGGGGGTTACTATTTCTCTCACTGACACCAACAAGGGGTTACTATTTCTCTCACATACATCAATGATGGGTACTATTCCATTTACTGACATCAAAGATAAAGCACTATTCCTCCCACTGACACCAATGATAGGACATTGTTTGCTTGCTCCCATTGACAGCAGGGCCTTTTCTACTCACAATGGTTACAGTCCAACCCCCTCAAAGTCTGAAGGACAATAAACTGGCCCTTTGATTAGAAAGTTTGGAGACCTCTAGTTTAGAGGAACAAATCTTTATAGTGATATTCCAGACAAAACTTTTTGTATATTTGGATAGAGTGGGAAAGGTTTTAATTCTTGCTCAGATTTTTTTTATTGCCCTCTGTGTGTCATTGTTCCTGTTGGGAGGATTTCCCTCCTTTTCAGTGTGGTCTCAGTGCCAGGGAGTGAGGGTGAAAACTCTTCCCCACTCTATCCAGGACACTAAAGTCCGTTGGAGCTGGAATTTAGCTCAAGCGAATATTGTATTAGACATCCTATAGGCAGATTTGAGTGAGCCAGGCTAAAGCTGGCCATACATTGACTAGAATTCAGCCAGCTCAGGGATTAGTTGAATTTCAGTCAATGAGTGGCTGCCTTGAGGTGACAGAAATTGATTGCTTAATCAACGTCTGTTTGAAGGAACATGGTGACCTTTTTTTTTTGATCTTCAGCTGCTGATCAGTGTAGTCTGACAATGGCACCTGCATTGGAGAAAGACTCCTCCATCCACACAAACGTGATGGATGGAGGTATGACAGTCCATTGCGTATGTCCAGTTTCAGGTTAAGCTTTCTTGATTACCAACCTGAGGCATCATGGAGACGCAACACTTTAAGGTGCCAGGGTTTTCGAACAATAATATCCAATTTGATTTTCCTTTGCATTTTGCGTGCTCATTTCATTGTATCAAAAAGAACCTGTCAAGGATTTGTTATGAGAATCTTCTTAAACTAGAGGCGGCAGCAGTCTGCACATTATGGGGTTGATTTACTAAAACTGGAGAGTGCAAAATGTGGTGCAGCTCCGCATAGAAACCAATCAGCTTCCAGGTTTTATTGGCAAAGCGTAACTGAACAAGCTGAAGTTAGAAGCTGATTGGCTACCATGCACAGCTGCCCTAGATGCTGAGTTCTCCAGTTTTAGTAAATCTCCCCCTATATGTCTGTCATGAATCCCATGATGAGTGGCCATGCGTAAAAAGAGCTCCAAAGTGATACCAGGAAATTACGCTAATAGTGCCCACCACCCTGGCTTGCCAGCAGTTTAGCATTTCTGATATTTGTTGAAGGCTGTAGTAATGAAATAATTTAGTTTCTGTGTCAAGAGACCCATTACCTAACAAAGTCTGACCTGTGTCCTGACAGGAAGGTACATCAACACCATCCGGGTGATCTGCTACAATCAGCAGGATTATGATGAGTGGATAGAACATTTGAAACGTGCTCAGCAACAAAACCGAGACTCGTCGTTGTCTGGCTCCAGCAGTTTCTGTGGCTCACATTCTGCACATCATGAACAGGTACACTACTAGTCAGAGTAGAGACAACTCATTACACGATTATAAACTGGGGTGGATAGTCTGCCTGCAAATGGTGCACAATTCTAGATTTATTAGGGGCTCCTGAGAAAAAAGGAAATCTCCTAATTTGCATGGGACTTTTCCATGTAATAAAGGGTGGAGGAGGGTTTTTTTTTTTTTCTCAGTCTCTTTCTAAATAGCAGCAGGAGCCCCCTATTCACTGTTTTGTGGAATGAAGTCTGACCATAACAATACTGTGGTTCCTAAAGAATCCCCTTTCCCACAGAAAGAGACCTAAGGGGTCTCATATATACTCTTTAAGATAAATGGTTTTTTTTAGGTTGGTTCTGTGTCCTGTTTAAAAAAAAAAAAAAAAAAAAAAAAAAAAAGTGATTACCAACATTAACATGCAATTAAGCCACATTAGGTAGCATTATAAAGCTTAGAAGCTCCAATGATTTTAGAATGCTGACAAGCATGGACTTGTATCACTGGGAATTTTGTTTGCTTCAAAGCCCTTTCTCTTCCAATAGACATCTATGGGAATTCACAAGAAATTAAACCGGGTCAACTGCACCCGCATGAATCTTGACTCTTCTCAGAAATTGATGTCAAAAACATTTGCCCAATGACACCAACCATATTACTGCTGGGGGAGCAGCTTGGTTCATGGCACAGTGCCGCTCAGCATTGGAAATCCATTGTTTCAGCACTAAGCTTGTCTTAGGAATGCTCTAAAGTCCAGGTTGTATTGCACCACAAACCAAGTGGCTGTCTGAGCCGTCGTGGCCTTGGAGTTGTTCATTGGTGCTCTTAAAATATAATTGGCACAGAGCCCAAGTCTCTGTGTGTGTTTTAAAGTATATATCAAGGCAGCATTAAATTTTAAAAAATATGTACAGTACATCAACATATAACATGCATTTTCCCTAAGGTTTTATCCCTGCAAGTACAGAAAAAATACCTGGCCACTCCGCTTCTATGTACTTGTACAGGCTGACAACACACAGCATTTGTGTGGACTGAATGGTGTCAGCCCTGCCCATTTTTATTCTTGCCAAACTACTCAGGCTCACCTATTTTCCCATCTCCACAAGTTAAAGGGTAACTATTCTGTAGTCCCATGATGAGAACTGGGAGGACTAATTCCTATCCTTGGGGTTCTTTCAAATGGGCTGTCTGAGCCCATTTAGCGCAACTTCCAATGCTTTTCCTTCACCCAGACAGTCCAGGTGCAACATGCAGTCTGCCATTGGCAAGGGTGGTTGTCCTCTGCTGCACTTGTGTATACAGTGGTACATGAGTAAGTACGTGGTATGAGTGGTAAGCATGAGTATAGTGTACGGGCATATACTGCACGTGGGTTGCCCTGGCAGGGGAAGTATGCTGGCAGTTATGCTGAACTACTTTGCGCACTAGAAAACTCGTGTGCATGTAGTAACTAGAATGCATTTTGTAAACAGCACTCCAGATATGTGTCGTAACCAATCTGCCATTTATCAGTGTATGACAGTGATAAAGCCGATAGTTAAATGGGTCAAAATAGAGCCAAAAAGAGAAGTGATTTTTTGTTAGGGTTTACATACAGTTTTATGTTATGGGGTATACGGATACGCTTTCTGCTTTAACCTACTATAAAAACTTAAAGTAATTTTAAATTGAGAGGGGTTTCAATTTTATCTTGGTACTTTTCACAACTTGATGGGAAAAAAAAATCCCTCTTCATATCACAGGTGACTGCAAGCTGCAGGAGCTCATTCACATCAGACGGTCGTACCAAATCCTGGGCGTCTTCAGTGAAGCTGCCCAGCTCTAACCACCAATCAACCAACACTATTCAAGGCTCTGAGCAGCAGTCCTACACAATACTGGGTGAACAAACCTTACAGGAGGATCCACTATCACCTGGATATTCACAGCCAGTCCATGTGAGTCCCCTACTATTCATGAATGTTATGGTGTATTTCTATGAAATAAAACATAAGCTGAAGGTAAAATTATAATGGTGCAATTTTTTTATTTTTAAAGTGTTATTTTGTAGCTTTATTATTATAAAAAATATTTAGTTTTAATAATATTTTAAAAGATAACAAAGGGTTCCTTTCTTTAAAGTGTAACTAAACCCACAACAGTAAAATCCGTCTGTATATGTAGTAAAGCATTCTTGTTATACTCACTGTGGAACCTAAGGGGTTAATCCTCCACATTGTGTAAAAAGGCTGGTTGATCCTGTCTTCACTTATCCTCCCTTCTACTGTCCCCAATCCATCTGCTGATGGTACATCCTGGTAGTGCCCTGGGAGGCACTTTGCACATGCTCAGTTTAGAGCGTATGGCTATAGAGTTGTTTTTTTTTTCTTTGGGAGGGTGCATGTGATCCACCCAGGGCCAATCAGCACTGTCCAGACAGAGGGTCTGGAGTTATGCAGCCTCATAGGCAGGGGCGGACTGACAACTCATGGGGCCCCCGGGCAATAGGGGATCATGGGGCCCCTGTGGCCTTGCCCAAACTCAAAAGAGCCTATGAAAAAGGTACCAGGGGCATCTCATGGGGCCCCCTACTGACTCCAGGCCCTCAGGCAGTGCCTGAGTTTCCAAATGGTCAGTCCGCCCCCTGCTCATAGGACAGTCCAGAGGAGAATTTAAAACCTGCAAGATTAACCAATGCTCAGCCAGACACTGATAGAAGTCACAAAACTGTTATGTACTGCTGATGAGAAAAAGTATTTAGCAGTTTATAGTTACTAAAATGATTGCATTTCCATATTCTGTGTACTGTGGGAAACCAGATATAGTGAGTGCAAGGGCCTGGGTTTAGTAACACTTTAGCTATATTTAGGTAGTTTCATGCTGGATTTCTATTTGACAATGAACTGTGTTCATTACTGTAACATTGTTATGGAAAGAGAAGCAATGCTGACATCTACAGGCTACCAGGCAGTATTGCATTTTATCTAAAGCTGTCTATTACTAAAACATTTGGAACATCAATGAACTGTTTCTAAAAAGTAATGAAAAAAATGTAACCTTTGAACTGTGAAGTGGCACAGTACCTGATATTTAATTTCTCTTTATGAAGTGTTTGGTGAATCCTAATTGGCCCAGTGGACAAAATGGACCGAGTGATCTTCAGAGAGGTGGAAGCATCCGCGAGTCTAAAGGAAAAAGGAATCTTTGCGTTCAGATTCCGTCCGTAATGCCCCAGAGTTACGATTTGGAAAACACTCCCTTTGTGCATATCCCGGAGACCCCTAGTGAAGATATTCTATCCCCCTTATATAAAGAGCCATATTCATATGAAAAATCCAAAGGGCACTCCTCTGTTACACCACAGCAGCTGGTAAGTCGTAACTGCCAAAGTATTCATCTTTTACCGCAGTGGGCCTCTCTGTTTTGTGTTTGTTTTTTTTTCATTATTATTTTTTTTAATTTTTTTAAGAAAGACCAATCACTGCTGCTTTCTGTCCTTTTGCAGGGTGACTGGTCTGGTCTCCTTGCCACCTCTTGTAGTTTTCTGTGGTTAATGACGAATACATTTGATTTAAAGCTTTTGGGTCTGGTCTGCAAATGGCACGGTCCTCCTTATTGGATTTAGGCCCTGCTTCCTTTAAGTTAGATTTCATACTTGCCCTACCCTTCTTCCACCCACAGTGCTTGGGCAAGAGTAATGTCACACTCCTTCCACAGAGATCCTGGGAAGTAGAAGGATCCCCAGACTTGTGAGAAGGCACTCTTCCACCAGAATGCAGTGTGTTCACTTGGGATTTGGGCTATTCGTCACTCCTCAGGAATCTTGGAAGGATGATGACATCATACCCTGCATATACTTTTTTAATTTTTTTATTACAGATTAATTTTTCTATCCACCTATATACAGTATATTTTTACAGCAAGAGGTGTCCTGGCTCTAATACGGGAAGTTTTACGACAAAGTCCAGTTTAAACATTTAATGTTATCACATTTTCCAGGCTCCTAAAATTATGCTCCGCAAAATTCTGTTGGAGTGGGTACAGGGTGTGATCTCACACTGACAAAGGTTTGAAGGTTTTTCATGACTACCAGTCATTGAAACCTTGATGCGCATACCAAAAAAAACAAGAAAGTTAATGTTGGTAATGGTAAACATGTGATGATGTAAAGATAAGTTTGTAAATGATAACTTAAAAGTGTAGCACGAGGTGCTGACTGTAATAGCTCATCCCTGGTAATGGGATATTGCGACAGCACCTGTACACCCTATCATTACAAGGATGCCCAAAGATATCTGTGCATGTGACTGCATTGTGATAATAGTGCCAGTGTGCTTTAATAACCAGGCCTGATCTTTTAATAAGTGCCTAATATAGAAATATATTCAATAATGACCTTTAAACTTCAGTATGTTATAAAGCAGATCTGTTTTATACAAGATTAGCTGGGGATTTTGACCATTAGTCATTGGTTTAAATTTATTATTATTATTATCCATAATTTATATAACGCCAACAGTTTGTAACTGTTACAAAATGAAGGTAGACATTACAGTTACAATACAATTTGGTACCAGAGGAAAAATAAGCATAGATTACATAGTGCGTGTATGTCTACATTTGATTGTTATGTACTTCTAGTAACCAATTTCATTGTATGTCCACAGTTAAGCAGAATGACTAGTCTGACAGACAGTCAGAAGACTCTCTCTCCACCTGATTCTCAGACTTTGTCAATGTCTCCATTGTATGCTGAACCATACACCCCAACTGGGACATCAAGCAACAGGCTTGTGGATGAGGTGAGTGTCAGTTATAAGAAAAAGTACCACCAACAGATACAGTGGCTTTTACACTTTGTGAATTAAAGTCAAATTCTTGCCAATGGGTTTTTTTTTTGGATAGAGTGGGAATTGTATAAGAACTTTTTCTTAGGGATGTCATCAGGAATAGGAAGTAAAAGTAAATGGGTTGGGTACACAGACCAGTTAAATCTGATCGGAGGTTGTAACCTTTTCCTAGGTATTATATTTTAAAATAAATTGTAATAAAACCTCATTCTCATAATTGTTTTTGTCTCTAATATAGCAATGTCTTACATGTGCATCTATTAAACTGTAGATCACAGATGAATGAATCTTCTAAAGCTTCTTTAATAATTGCTAATGGTTAACATGTTTGTTTCCCAATAAGATTTTACAAAATCTGACTTCAAACCGCAATGAGAGCCATGTCTCCGACCTGAAGATAAACAGATCATTCCATGGGATAAGCAGCCCACACCTAGCCCTGCACAAGAAGTATTCCCACCCAGTGACCGGGAGCCAGAAGTTAGTTAGGCCCATGGTGCACCGGAACAGTGAGCCAGACACTTCTATTGACTCAAGGCTCATACCCACAAAACAGACCCATACTCCCTTCTTCAAAAGTGTAAGTCTTCCTTTGCCGTGAAGTGTCACATTAACATTTTACTATACTTTGTTCCCACCGGAACATTGATGTCTGAAATAATGTAAATATTCCTGGATACATCTCTTTTTAAAGAGGTCAGTTATCAGCTCCAGTCTGTCTTTATATCAGCCTCTTGTAGATGCTGCCCAGAAGGATTCAGACTGACTGCAAGAGGACCGGGCAGTCTGAGTCAATCAGGCTTTACTGCACTGGCCAAATACGCATGGAATTGGCAGAGCCCAATCTAATGTATTGTCATTTTACTACTACCCAATGAAAGGTTGGGGTGGTCTTTGACCAAGCTGTACTGCTTTAAAGGAGAATTAAGCCCAAAACTCTTTTGGCCCTACTTCTCCTATGGATCACAGGAGTTCATGTAATTCTGCACTCCTGTGACCCACTTTCAACTGACAGCGGGCTAAAGCCCGCTGCCTGATGTCACTAAAATCAGGATGTCTCCAGAGCCTGGACCGCCTCAGTCAGGATCTATACAGAAGCCTGGACCAGCAGCTGTTTCCACCTCTCAGTGATCTTCTGAAAGCCTGAGCCAACTTCTCCCACCCCCTCCACAGACCAAAACTCCAGTGAGTGCTGGAGGAGCAGAGAGCCAGAGATTGACATTCACCGGCTCTCTGCCCACTGAAGACCGAGAACTGAACAGTCAGTGGTCTTTGCTCAGTTCTTGGTCTTAGAGGTTGGGGGGACAAATGCAGCACCAGACCGATGCTGCATCTACCTAGTTGAGTATGCATATTATTTTTTATTCCCAAACTTCTTTTAACTACTATAGAGAAAAACTAGGTCATAGCCTGAAAGTGATTTTTTTTTTTTTTTACATATTTGAGTCATACATTTAGCTGTTTGCCTTAACCTCCCCGTTAAACTGTTTACCACTACAGCTGCTGTAATTGCATGCAAATTGAAAGTTAAAGCTGGGCTTGCAGTGGTATTGACTGCCATGGGAGCATGAAGAAGCTCATATGTGGGGCTTATGCCCTTATCAGTGCTATGTCTGGAGGCTGGGCAGGGAAATGGGGTCTTCAGAACTGTTTCCTTTAAAAAAAAAACATAGTCCTTGTAATATGCAGCAATGTGGCAGAGCAAGCGTAAATGGATCACACACTTTAGGTATAGTAGTTTTACAGTTTTTTTTACATATAAACAGTCCTTGTAAATTTTTTCTTTTAGTATTTACATTTTTGGCCAGACTCGCCTATTATACTAGCAGAAAGTCAAGAGTTAGTCTACAGAATACAGACGCATACATGTTCCTACTATATTGTAAACATGTTTTTTTTATCATTTCATTCTAGATATCCTCAGTCAAGGAAGAAATTGCTTTATCTCACCACAGCAAAGAAGGTAAGGTCATAAAGCTGTCATGATGTTTATAGCACCAGACTGCTGCAAGGGTAACTGAGGAGAAAAAGTTCAGACATGCAAGTAATAAATCAGCTCCAATTATCAGGTCAGCTGGTTATAAATTTACTATAGTGTTGCATGAGGTGATTGTAGCCATATTAGTGCACTTGCGACAGAAACAATTGAGTACTGACGTGATACTTTTTTTATTTGCACTAACATATAATTTTGAGGACAAGCTTTTGGGTATGTCCCCTTCCTCAAGGTCCAGGCAGTACTACTTCTCAAGGTTTTAGCAGAATGTTAAAAGAGATGTTGAAAGTGGGAGAAAAAAAATACCAGAAAGAAACACACACACAAATGTACACAGCAATGGTTATAAAACTAGGATTAGACTAGAGATGAGACACAGCAAAAGAAAAGACTGGGGGGGGGGGAGGGGGAACAACACTCACAGAGGGCGTTGTAAAACTGTTGGATAATGAGTGAGGAAGCCCATGTCCAAATTAAGGCAATGATCTCTTGTGTCAAATAGAAATATCATTCTTAGTTCCTTTCCTGAATAGTTCTGAAATTTCCTTTTAAGAACTAAAATATTGTGGTCTCCCATTGTGTGGCCTGGTTGTGCGAAATGGTGTCCCACAGGTGTGCAGAAGTCAAACAACCGTGTACGTCTAGTAACCACATACAACCCAGCACTAGAAGGAATAAGAAAAATAATCAAAGATTTGCAACCCATCATAACAGAGGATAGAACTCTGAAAGAAATATTCCAGCAACCCCCAATACTGGCCTTCAGACAACCCCCCAACCTCAGAAATAAACTAATCCAGTAGGAAACTTCCTTCTGATTATGAGGTCACAAATAATGGAAGCAAACCCTGCAATAAAAAAACGCTGCAAACTGTGCAACCAAATCAATCCATCAAAAAGTGTCAGACACTCAAAAGGGATCTTCAATATCTTCGGATCATACAGCTGCACCTCCAGTAATGTGGTGTACCTTATCCAGTGCAGAAAATGTAGCAAAGGATCTTACGTTGGCGAAACAGGACAGAATTTGCAAACAAGGATGAATTTGCACAGACATACCATCAAGGAACATAAAAAAGATGACTTCTGCACACCTGTAGGACACCATTTCGCACAACCAGACCGCACTATGGAAGACCTCAATATTTTAGTTCTTAAAGGAAATTTCAAAATTATTCAGGAAAGGAAAACATTTGCACTAAGAACGATATTTCTATTTGACACGAGATAATGACCTTAATTTGGACATGGGATTCCTCACACATTATCCAACAGTTTTACGACCCCCTCTGTGAGTGTTGTTCCCCCCCCCCCCCCCCCCCCACCCCTCAGTCTTTGCTTTTGCTGTATCTTATCTCTAGTCTAATCCTAGTTTTATAAATGTGTGTGTGTGTGTCTTTCTTTCTGTTTTTTTTTTTTTTCTCTCCACTTTCAACATCTCTTTTAACATTCTGCTAAAACTTTGTGAAGTAGTACTGCCTGGACTTTGAAGAAGGGGGACATACCCCGAAAGCTTGTGCTCAAAATTGTATTTTAGTGCAAATAAAAAAAGTATCACGTCAGTACTCAATTGTTTCTATAGTGTTGCAAAAACTATAGTAAGTTTGTTTTGTAACCCTGTCTGGCTTGTTCCCAGTGAGTAATCCCTGAACACTCTTCAAATCCTAAATTTTATAGCACCTACTGATGCCCAAATTCACTCCATGGTCATCTTTAGTGTTTTCTTAGTGGTAGTTCAATATTTTTAAGAAGAATTTCCTGTTTGTGGCCCTTCTGTGTAGCAACATAGAGGGATCCTACAGCCCTTAGCCATTGTTGAAAGAACTGAAGGTCACTGTGCAGTCCCAGTTTTCACCAACAAGTGTCACTGATATCTCAATAATTGCAGAGTTCTGAGCCAGGGATATCCAAAGCCTGTGGAAAGTGGGACCCCTCTTTATTACCACACAGGGACAACTGAAACAAAAGGGATTTCCAGTATTCTTGAAAGTATACGTGGCAGTTTGCATAAAACTGTGGCGCCTCAGTTTGCAAGCTGCAAGTTCAGTAGAGAAATGTTGGTTTTGGCTTATCAATTCATTCTCCAGTTCAGAGTTCCCGTTGAATCTCATTTTATGTATGATATAAATTCTTATTTTGGAAGTATGAATACCAATAGGGGAAAACACTCAGTAATGCAGTTATGCATTAAATAAAATTCTTTGCATGTATTTTTTTTAATAAAACTATAGTATAGTATAATAAGTGTTTGTGCCGGAATTTCTTATCACTAGCGCATAGTTCTTCTCACAGCTCACATTTGCTGACAGGAAGAAAGCTCACTGATGACTTCTCAGTGTGTTGCTGTTCATTCTTAGTCCAGTTGGCAAGAGTTTTTTTTTTTGTCTTGGGCCAGGCTGCGCTGACTCTATAGTGAAGGTGTTTTGTTGGTGTATGGATGAAAAACTACTGTGTAAACTTCCTTGGGACAAGAAAATATACAGTTGTGATGGCCAATAAACATAAGCTGTGTTACAGTTGAATAAGATGCATTACTTTTGTAATCCATTTTAAGTACCTGCCTTGTAACACTTTTTTGTTCTTCCAGTTGAAGATATGTTTGACCTGCCCTCTGAAAAGTCTGAAACCGGACAGTTTGGAACACGACTATGCAGAGTTACAAAGCTTTCAGAGTGACTTCAGCTATGACAACATTTGGGAATATGAAGCCAAGGACAAAGATCTTAATTGGTTCTCTCCACCTCCTTACCCAGGACATGCTTACCATGGTGTCCATCATGGAAAGGCTGTAGCTAGCCGGTGGTTGTAAAGAAGATATTTGGTGATACTGCCACGAACAAAGGGTTGATGTATATCCCGTACAATTGTGAAGGACATGTTGCTGCTTTTTGTTGCTCTGGGGACATGGCTGCCCTGCAAGAATATCACCGGTAGCTGCCAATTTTGCAGCCTTTTATACCCGTAAATGACCCATTGTTTTCTCTTCAGTCTGCTGCTTGCAGAGATGTTGTGTTAGATCAGGGACTGCTGGAAAAGCTATGTCCCTCACGTTCTTTGTTCTTGTTTGGACAAACACTATAGGGAGTTATTGCACATAATAATTACAAAGCACATGTTTCTTCCAATTTCCCTCTAGCTTAGCACAGCTCAGTCCCCAAACCCAACTGTGACTAGCATCTGACTCACAAAACACAATGCCTTTATACAAAGACTAAACACTCCCTGCTGTGTAGAACCTCCCAAAATACAAACATGTCTTGGAGAACCATCTAAATTCCTCCAGTAACCTGTGACCACTGCTGGGATCCAGTTGATGTGACTACTGTGTGGATGCAGATGATCATGGTGCTTTGCTAACTATTCTCAGTGTAAAACTTTCATTGGTTGACAGGACATCCTAAACACCCAATTGAAAAGAGAATATCCTGCCATTTTTGCTGTGATTCCTGTACACCAAGGGAACTCCTTGAATTCAGGAGCTATTCTCTCTGTAATGCTTCGCGCGCCTATCAATAGATAGAATGGTTTTGTAGTTTACATTGAAACTGTTATTATGTAAAAAATATTTAATTAATATTGGTTTATTATTTCAGCCATAAGGACCTTTTTTTTTTGTTTTTTGTTTTTTTTTTGTTTTTTTTTTTTATACTGGTTTTAAGGGTCATGTTGTTCTTATTTAACGTAAAGCGGTATTTATTAAGAATGGTTGCACTGTTTCTGGACTGTATATAATTTGTAAGGAACGTATGTTTTGGAGGGTGGGGTTTTTTAGTTTTGTTGGAAATGTTATACTGTTAACTTTCAAAATAAAATCTCACCACTTCCATTTCTTTGGGTTGCTTGCTTCACCATCAATAAATCCAGGGGCTTTATAATTGGGTGCACCTTTGTTTACCAATAATATCACTCTTGTGACCTATGATATTCCCCAGGTATTGACTAGTCAAAAGTGGAAAAAAAAAACATGCTCTGTATTGAGTTCCGCAGTACAATTTATGGACAGGCTTTGTGAATGCTGCAGTTTTTTTTTTTTTTCTTTCTTTGTGAAATAAAAACAAGAACATAAGATATGTCTTATTCAAGGTATATCGAATTGGGGAAATCTGATTAGTTGGGAAGGAGCAACAAGACCTTGTTTTCACCTGAAATGTGTATATATACTATTCAGTGAAAAGACAAACTGGAAAGAAAACCCTCAACGAAGATGGGACTTTAACCACTAGCCTACAGGGCACTTATAACCCCTTCCTGCCCAGGCCAATTTCCAGCTTTCAGCGCTGTCACACTTTGAATGACAATTGCGCGGTCATACAACACTACCCATATGAAATGTTTATCATTTTTTTGTGACAGATAGAGCTTTCTTTTGATGGTATTTAATCACCTCTGGGTTTTTTATTTTTTTCTTAAACCAAAAACCACTGAAAATTTTGGAAAAAAAACATTTTTTCTTAGTTTTTGTTATAACATTTTGTAAATAAGTGATTTTTCTCCTTCACTGATATGCGCTAATGAGGTTGCAGTGGTGGACACTGATAGGTGGCACTGATGACGCACTGATAGGTGGCACTGATGGGCATTGACAGGCATCACTGATAGGCACTGAAAGGCAGCACTGATGCATGGCACTGATATATGGCACTGATAGGCGGCACGGACTGGCACTGATAGGCGACACGGACTGGCACTGATAGGCGACACGGACTGGCACTGATAGGCAGCACGGACTGGCACTGATAGGCGGCACTGATTGGCATTGATAGGTGGCACTGACTGGCACTGGGTGACACTGAAAGGCAGCTCAGATGGGCACTGGCACAAGGCACTGATGGACACCTACAGGTGGCACTGCTAGGGCTACACTGATCATCAGGGCACACTGATGATCAGTGTACATGTCCCCTCTGCAGAAAGCCGATTACCGGCTCTCCTCTCGAGCTGTCAGCGTGACAGCTTGAGAGGAGAGAAATGCCGATAACCGGCATTTCCCTGTTTACATGTGATCAGCTGTGATTGGACACAGCTGATCACATGACCGAGCCAACATCTTCGGCTCTTTCCGTGATCGGTGATCCGCTGTCCGAGGGACACAGCGCACCGCCGATCGCCGTGCTGCGCGCTCCCTGAGCCGTGAGAATGGGAGGACGTCATGACGTCCTCCCAGAACAAGAGAACCACCTTGCGTCCGTCATTGGACTATATGGCGGGTGGGAAGTGGTTAAAGGCATTATACTCCTACAGATCATAATAGATAAAACAACATTCATTCACATAAAATGGTAAGAAATTTCATATCCATTGTGTACAAAATGTTTCTTAAAATCACACCGCTTCAAAGATGTAGTATCTTGTCAGCAATGCTGACGCATTTCGCTGTTCACATCTGCTTCATCAGGCACCTTTCAAGACACCACATCTATTTGAATCTCAGTTACTACTACTTCCTGAGAGGGCGCCATGTGTGTAGTTGAAATGTCTTCACCTCACCAAAAACAGCGAGGGAGGGCTACTTGGACATTCCGCCAAGAAAAGAGAAGGGAAAGGCAGGCCGCCAATAGACTCACAATATGCTATAATGATTCAATGTGTCCCAGTCACAGTGCGAACCTACGCAGCTGTTGGCCCAATGTCCAGGTAGTCCTCCCTCGCTGTTTAGTGAGGTGAGGACATTTCAACTACATACATGGCACCCTCTCATTAAGTATTTGTAACTGAGATTCAAATAGATGTGGTGTCCTGAAAGGCCCCTGATGAAGCAGATGTGAACTGCGAAATGTGTTGGCATTACTAACAGGACACTACATCATCTTTGAAACTGTATGATAAGAAAATTTTTGTACATAATGGATATGGAATTTCTTACCATTTGTATGTGAATTAATAAATGTTATTGTTTTATCTATTATGACCTGGATGTGTACAATGTCTTTTGAGTCCCACCTTCATTGAGGGTTTTCCCTCCAGTTTGTCTCTTCGCCTATCCTTGGGATGTGGCAGTATACGCCTGTTTCCTGAGTAGTGTGTATTTTCCATGATTTGTATATGTACTATTCAGTGATCTCAACCCACTAGCAATTGGGCTGCAGTTTGGGTGATCATTGTCTTACCTGAGATGAAGAAAACATTGGACAAAACTTACCAGCTTAAACAACCACTTGTGATGCTGACTGTGGTCTTACACAATCTACTATACAGTTGGCAGACATTATCACATGTATTTATATAGCACTGATAATTTACACAGTGCTTTTGCATATAGTACACGTCAGTCCCTGCTCCTAAGAGCTTACCATTTAAGGTCCCTATCTCAAATGCATAATTGCATACATATACACTCACATACTAGGGCCAATTTTAGACAGGAGAAAATTAACCTGCCAATTTGTCTTAGGAGTGTGGAAGGAAACTGGAATACTGGGAGGAAACCCTAGCAATGTTACATAGTCTGGCTGAAAAAAGACAAAAGTCCATCCAGTTCAACCATTAAAAAAAAAAAAAAAAAAGTTATAATCCTATACTCACAGTTGATCCAGAGGAAGGCAAAAAAAACAGCAAAGCATGATCCAATTTACTCAGCAGGGAAAAAAATTCCTTAATGATCCCACGAGAGGCAATCGGATATTTCCTGGATCAACATTACCTATAAATGTTAACTCCATATGACAACTCCATGCAGATAGTGTCCTGACCATTGGGGACCCAACTATTGCATGGCAGAACTAACCACCAAACCCCTGTGCTGCTAGTTTTCCACAAGTTTGTGCAAGCCCTCCCTGATCTCAGATCTTTGTGGCAGCACAACTCTATACATAACAGTATGAATAGATGCATACTACCTGTGATGAAGTGCAAAATCCTTTGATCGTACTTTGACCGCTCCCTAACATTCACGCACCCACTTTACCTACTTATATGACCAGGATATTTTCTAGGTTTTTCAAAAAGCTGGACATATACCTCAATCCCTGGTAAAACAGAATAAAAACAATAAAGAAAATGTCAAATTACAATGAAATCCTCTATCATCAAGTTTTTTGTTTTTTTTTTTTTTTTTTTTTAACTCATGCACACCTAAAAGTTTGTGATTGAGGTGTCAATACATAGCTATGGTCATTTAGTAATGGCAGAGAACCAGGTAGTATAGTTTTTAGTCATGTGATCCCTGATACTGCCAGATAAACCAGCCCCAGTTAAAACTATTTTTTTGTTAATAAAACATATTCCAACGTTTTTGTTTTAAAACATGATATATAACATCCTTGATGATGCAGCGCAATCCCATCAAATAATTTGACAGTCCTCAATTCAAAACAATATAATGGTCCTTCAGTATCCAATAAAGCTGTATTTCCTCCACCACCGTGATGTGATTTTTTTTTTTTTTTTTTATCTTTTCTCAAACTTGGTGAGACATGCAAAGGCGCTCACCTTGTGCAATAGACTTCAATACAGATCAAGGTCATAACACTTGTTGCCCCACCTTGGGCATATGTGGCATCAGCTATTTCTCTTCCTTCCAGTATTCCTCACCATGGATACATCACATGCAAAAAGAGAATGGGACCACAATAGTGCTCTTTGAATCTGACCAATTTATTAAAAGCTCTCAAAATCATCACTTACATTTAACCACTTGCCCTCCAGAGGATTTACCCCCCTTCCTGACCAGTCCATTTTTTGTGATATGGCTCTGCGTTATTTTAACTGACAATTGCGTGGTCATGCAACGCTGCACCCAAATGAAATTTACGTCATTTTCTTCTCACAAATACAGCTTTCTTCTGGTGGTATTTGATCACCTGTGTGTTT